CAGGGAGGGGTTCCAGAAGAAGAGGCCCCACAACTGGGCCTTGGAGGGTGAGGGTGTGTTTGGCCATTGGCTATGCGCCCAAGAGAACACCCCTCTTGGGCGGGGCTCTCCACTGTCCCACAGAGAAAAAATTGCAGAGAAAAGGGGGAGGGGGCTCGTCAGATTCTTTCTCGCAGCCTTCAGGTGGCGCCCTTGAGCCATGGAGCCGCAAGCGCCAGAGGAGACTGTCCCGACCTAAGGACCTCAGAGAGGACCCGGGGTCCTACCTGAGGGCTGTGGGGGGTGGGGGGTGGGGGGTGGGGGGAAGGGGAAGTGGGAGAGTGGGAGTGAGGAGGGGGCAGGCACCTGGGCTTGGGGCAATAGGGGCTTTCCAGTGGTGTGGAGAGGCAGGCGGCGGGGGAGGGGTGTTCTCCAGCACCCCCCGCCCACCCCGCCCCTACGCCCGGGGACCGCGGGCTCGAAGCCCCAGTTCACTAAGCCCAGGCGCTGGCGATCCAGATCTGCCTGGAGGGGAGGGGAGGACGATGGATTGGAGCCCCCGCACCCTCACCCCAGACCATCACACGCCTTCCAGTCCCTCTCTGGGCTAACTCTCCGGGCGTCCTCGCCGGCCGCGGGCGGAGCTCGCTCCGCGGCGCTCGGCGATCCCCGGCCCCCGCCCCTTCTCCTGTCCCTCTGTCCCTGGATCCCCCCCCAGCGGCCGCCACCGCCGCCGTACAGCTCCGCGCGGCGCAAGCAGGTACGTGCGCCTCGGCAGCTGCTCCGGGCCGGGCCGGGCCGGGAAGGGGGCGGGAGACGGGGAGGGCGAGGCAGTGGCGGCCAGGCCCGCGCCCTCCGGGCTGCGCCGCAGGAGAGACCCCCGCAGGCGGACGCCGGCTGCAGGAAGGCGGACGGGCACTGGGAGGACGCACCCTCGCCCGCCGGCCGCCGGGCGCCCTTCGCCCCGCGTGGGGAGGCAGGGAGGGAGGCCCGGCACAGGTACGCACGCGGAGAGGGGACTGCGGGGGGGCGGCTGGAGGCCGAGGGCCGGGGGCGGGGAGTGGGGGCGAAGGACAGTTAGCCTGACCTCGCGGCCCGCCGAAGGACATGCGGCCAGGGGACCCGGCCTCCCCGGGCCTCCGCCTGGTCCGATTCGGCCTGTCCTGGCCCGCGCCTATGGTCAAGGGCAGGAGCAGGGGGTGTGGACTGCGGGCCGGCGAGAGCGGGCGCAGTGGGCAGCCGGCGTGCTGGGGCTTTCTGCGCGCAACTTTGGGTACAACAGCGTGGACCTGCGTGTGCGTATCTACGCGCCCCAAGGCTTTGTGTACAACTCGTGCGTGTGTCTATCGATTGCGTTTTGTGAAGCTTCATCCACAGCCGCTGTGTGTCCCTCTCTCCGGGTGTCAGTGCGCGCGATGGGTGGGGTATTGGGCCCCTGCGGGTCTTGGTGGATCTGGCTTGAATCTTACTCCCAGGGGCACTTAAGAGTGTGTGTGTGTGTGTGTACTCGCGCGTGCGTGTGACCAGTCCTGCCCCCTCCCAGGGTATGGGTAATCGTGTGGCTGGAAGATCTGAGGGTCACACTACGTGACTTCTGGGTGTCTGTGGGTACTGCCGTGGGAACAGCTGCTGGGGGAGTGAGTGTGGAACTGGAGTGTTCCTTTCAGGACCTGTCTGACTGCAGATGAAATTAGTAACTGGTAGGGTCGTGGGGTGTGAACGGTGGGCAGGAGCAGCTGTGTCAGTTGGTGTGTTTCTGTTTCTGTTTGGGTAATTGGGCACAGCCTTTGTGTAACTGGTGAGTATCTCTGAACCTGTGCATGAAACAGAGAGATGTCCTAACTCTGGGTGAGAGGAATCCTCTTTTTTCTCTGCCCTCTCACTGTGGCATCCTAAGAAAAAAGTTTTGGGGTCCTGCAGCATGAAGGAGAGCCCTGCTCCCAGAATGTGGGAGCCCCAGATTTCTTCCAGGTTATGGAGGCATCAACATGTCAGTCTGGGAAAGGGGCTCCTGGGCCACTCCAGGAGCTGAGTTGGGTGGAAGGTGCTGAGGGTGTGGTTGGGGGCCACTTCTGAGCACCCACATGGCACCCATTGCTGGTACCTGTTTGTGGCTGGGCACTCAGGAAAATGTTTTTGGTGCTAAGAGTAAAAAGCCAACCAACAAACACATCTTTTTTTTCTGTCTATTCACTGGAAAGTAAGAGGAGTCTGGGCCCAGGCTGGGGACCCAGATGGAATTGAAACTTATCCCTGCTCTCAAGGTGCTGACGGTTGCTGTTAAACAGCCAGATAAAATGAAGGGTCTATGAGTGAGGGATGCAGAGCCAGGGAAGGCTGGTGGAGTGATACCACCAGCACAGGGGTATGAGTTTGCAGGTTTGTACGTGATAATAATTCTTAGGGAACCTGCATTCAATTCCTGTCCCACCCTCCCTTGCAGGCCATGGGACTTGGCCATGTAAATGGAGACAGTAATTCCCGATCTCGGTGGTGGGGAGGGGTGTTATGAGGCATGCTCACCCACGGGGGTGTCGGGTACACAGCTTAACAGCTGGTAGGTGCCCAGTAAACATTTGCTAAGAAGCGGGACTCTGGAAAGAGAGATGTAGTGATAGAAGCGGGTTGTAAAGGGAAAGAAGCTTTGTACTCATGAAGGCCCTACTGTATTATTGCTTTAAGAGGGTGTCTGAGTGCTGATCCCTTATTGACGGGAAGGTCCGGGAAAGATTGAAAAACATGTCTTCCTGCACTGAGGCTCTTTGAGTTTCATTCATTCATTCCATTCATCTCTACTTTACTCATTTGCTCATATTTACACATACACACACTGAGACAGAGAGAGAGAGAGACAGAGAACACAGTTGCACTGGAGAATGGCTTTTAACATGAGAATGCAGAGAATCATGTGTGTGCATGTGTGGTGATATTAGCCGGAGCACACTAGAGCATGCGAGCCACTTTGCACCTGGGGGTCTCTGGCCATTGGACTTTGAGCCTGGGGCTCTGAGTGTATGTGCATGTGCCTCGAGGCCATCCAGTAACTGCTCCCCAAGGAAGCGATGCAGTTTTGCTATGGATCAGGGCTGACACATGCCAGGCAAGGGAAGGGGCGAAGGGGGTAGGACCGGGGAGGCTGAATCCAAGAGCCCCAGTTGCCAACTCCAGGTGGTGTTATAAGGCGGGGCTAAGGTGGCCAGATTCTTTCATTTTGCAGGAGAACCAGGAATCAACATTTAAAATGTAAAATCTAAAATCTTTTTTGCTTTTATACATTTGCAACTAATTCACCAAAAAACAAATGAGAACAGGCCAGAACAAAGAAACAAAGCAAAACTTCTGTCAGCCAAATATGGTCCCAGACTTTGTCAGTCAGTATCCTTCAGTGGGAATGCACGCTTTATTGCAATCTTGTTGTTAGGTGTGTGTTCAGGTTCTTGGGTGGGTGGGCCCTTTTTGCAGCACAGACAGGTGTCCTCTTCTCACCTCTCCCTCCTGGTTCCCCTCCTGTGGTCCTAGTCCAGGTCCCCACCCTTTTGTTTACATAAAAGCATTTGGCCGACTAGTCATGGCTCTCCAGTTACCCCTTCCTCTTGGCCCTTTCCAGCCATGCCATCCCCAACCTGCTGGCGGCTTCCTTGCTGGACCCCGTCCTCCCGCTTTGCCCGCTCCCATCCACACAGTCCTCCCTTTCTTCTGAAGCGAGGCGATGTCCAGCCTCCCGCTCCAGCTCCTCAGCCATGACTCTCCAGGCTCCCTTAGCCTTAGCTCAGAGTCCTTTGTGAGCTGGCCCCCTTCAACTCTGAGGCAGTCTGTTCCTTTCAGGGTGCCTCATCACCTTCCATTGCTGGGAAATGTCAATTCCAATCTTTCTGTGAGATCTGGCAAGTGCCACCAGCTCAAAACTTCTCCCTGTTCCCCTGCATTTCCCCCCTCCCCCTCTGTCATCCTTGCTTCTCCTTACGAGTTCATGGATTACGGCCAGGGTGTTGCATGCACTACTTTATGAAATCCCTCACAACAGCTTATGAGAGGCATTTTATTCTTACCATTTAGCAGATAAGAAGAAGACGAATCTGGAGAGGGGTCATCGCCTTGCCCAAGCTGGAAGTAGGTGAAGCTGGGATTTGAGCTGATGTTCCAGCTATCTACATTCCCTCCATCAGCAGGAGCTCATGCCGCTAACACACCCAGGCACTCAGGGGTTCACTAAAGCACTGCATGGGTGTCTCGATCCTACTCCAGCTTTGTGAACTAGAGGGAGTAGCAGGGACTATTTTTATAGGTGGGGGGGAAACTACCCAAGAAGCAAGACAGATTAGTGAATTGCCCTGGCCATGCCCCCAGCTGGTGGTGGGTGGGATGCAGACCGGATCACACTGTTCTGTCATTGTCTTATTCCTGTCTTCCCCCTCTACGGCAGACACCCAAGTGGGAATCATTTGGCTACCTTCGCTTGGGGACTGGTGTGATGTCCTCCACAACAGGGGAGGAGGTTGCTACATTCAGCTGACTTTCTGTTTTCTTCCAGCCAAGGGGCCAAGGGATGAGCTGGGGCCCTCTTTGACAAGCATCTCCCCTGGTCTGGAACTGAAGACACTGAGCAATGGTCGCTTAAGCCCCAAGGAGAGTCAGCTCCCTGGGCGTTGGCCCCATCAGGAGGGTGTGGAGGGTGCTTATAACCACCTCAGAGGAGCACGAGAATTGCCAACTCCAGGTGAGTGTTATAAGGGAACGGGGGCCTAAGGTGGCCAGATTCTTTCATTTTGCAGGAGAAGCCAGGAATCCAACATTTAAAATGTAAAATCTAAAATCTTTTGCTTTTTATACATTTGCAACTAATTCACCAAAAACAAATGAACAGGCCAGGAACAAAACAAAGCAAAACTTCTGTCAGCCAAATATGGTCCCCGGGCTGTCAGTCAGTATTCTTCAGTGGGAATGCACATGTGCTGTCTGTGTCTGGGTGGGTGTGTGTTCAGGTTCTTGGGTGGGGTGAGTCCTTTTGCAGCACAGACAGTGTCCCTCTTCTCACCTCTCCCTCCTGGTTCCCCTCCTGTGGTCCTAGTCCAGGTCCCCACCCTTTTGTTTACATAAAAGCATTTGGCTTTGACCTAGTCATGGCTCTCCAGTCTGCCCCTTCCTCTTGGCCCTTTCAGCCATGCCATCCCCAACCTGCTGGCTTCCTTGCTGGACCCCCGTCCTCCACTTTGCCCGCTCCCATCCCATCAGTCCTCCTTTCTTCTGAAGCCGAGGCAGATGTCAGCACTTCCCGCTCCAGCTCCTCAGCTCGCATGACTCTCAGGCTCCTTGGCCTGGCTTTCAGAGTCCTTTGTGAGCTGGCCCCAGCTGGCCTCTGAGGCAGTCTGTTCCCCTTTCCAGAATGCCCTCATCACCTTCCATTGCTGGGAAATATCCAATTCATCTTCTGAGATCTGGCTCAAATGCCACCAACTCCCAGAAACTTCCCTTCCTCTGTTCCCACAACTTCTGCATTTCTACCCCCTCCCCCACCTCTGTCATCCTTCCCTCATACAAGGTTCATGGATTGCACTGGCCAGGGTGTTGCATGCACTACTTTATGAAATCCTCACAACAGCCTTATGAGGGAGGCATTTTATTCATTACCATTTTACAGATAAGAAGAAGACCGAATCTGGAGAGGTCACATCACTTGCCCAAGCTCAAGTGGTGAAGCTGGGATTTGAGCCTGATGTTCACGCTATCTACATTCCCTCCATCATAATAGGAGCTCATCGCTAACACTGAGCACTCAGGGTTCTGAGCACTTTGCATAGGTTGTCTCGATCCTACTCCAGCTTTGTGAACTAGAGGGGAGTAGCAGGATTATTTTATAGGTGGGGAAACTGAAGCCAAGACAGGATTAGTGAATTGCCCACAGCCATACCCCAGCTGGTGGTGGAGTGGGATCTGGGCCCGGATCACACTGTTCTGTCATTGTCTTATTCCCTGTCTTCCCCTCTGTCTGGCAGACACCCCCAAGTGGGAATCGTGCCTGACTCACCTTCATGTGCTTGGGGACTGGTGTGATGTCCTCCACAACAGGGAGAGGTTGCTACATTCAACTGACTTTCTGTTTTCTCTTCCAGCTGCCAAGGGGCCAAGGGATGAGCTGGGGCCCTCCTTCCCAATGGCATCTCCCCCTGGTCTGGAACTGAAGACACTGAGCAATGGTCCTTAAGCCCCAAGGAGATCAGCTCCCCTGGGCCCGGTGGCCCCATCCAGGGAGGGTGTGGAGAATGCCTGCTTCTCCTCAGAGGAGCACGAGACCCATTTCCAGAACCCTGGGAACACGAGACTGGGCAGCTCACCCAGTCCCTCTGGGGGTGTCTCCTCACTGCCCCGATCCCAGCGGGATGATCTGTCCCTGCATTCAGAGGAGGGGCCAGGCCTGGAGCCCGTGAGTCGCCCGGTGGATTATGGCTTTGTTTCCACCCTCGTTTTCCTGGTGAGTGGGATTCTCTTGGTGGTGACAGCATACGCCATCCCCCGTGAGGCTCGAGTCAATCCGGACACAGTGACAGCGCGGGAGATGGAACGACTAGAAATGTACTACGCCCGCCTAGGCTCCCACTTGGACAAGTGCATCATCGCAGGCCTGGGGCTGCTCACGGTGGGCGGCATGCTCTTGTTGGTGCTGCTCATGGTCTCCCTGTGCAAGGGCGAGCTGTACCGCCGGAGGACCTTCGTCCCCGGCAGGGGCTCCAGGAAGACCTATGGCTCCATTAACCTGCGCATGAGACAGCTCAATGGGGATGGGGGCCAGGCCCTGGTGGAGAATGAAGTTGTCCAGGTCTCAGAGACTAGCCACACCCTCCAGAGGTCTTAAGTACTCCCACCTTATCTGGCTGCTTTAGCTCCAGTGCCACAAGATCCCCCCACACCCGCCCCCCCGCCAAGGCCTGGGGTTTCAAACTGAGCTCACATAGGGGCTTGTGGAAGAAGTACTGGGTACTGGAAGGAGAGCTCGGGGCCGAGCCCATGCCCCACATGGGCAAGCAGCCCCCTGGTCTGTTTTGTAGCTGAGGTTTTGCATACGGTTTTGTTTGGAGGATGGCTTCTGCTGCTAAAAATATAAAAGTTTGGAAACCGCTGCTCTTGGAGGATGAGGTTTCTTGGCATTTCTGAAGACCGGGAGCTGTTTGAAAGGTTGCCCATCTCGTTCCCTCATGCCTTGGGAGTGAGGGACCTCTTCTGTCCTTATCGGCTGAGTGAGGGTGTTGAGGGGTCCCTTTCAGCCCTGACCATCTAAGGTGGGAGGTGGCTTCATGATGAGGGGAAAAGTCAGCACCAGAGTGACCCCCAGTACCCCCACTGACTAAACTGTGATCCTACCCTCACCAGGCCTCAGTTGCCCTGCCTTCAAGTGAGGGGGTTGGACTGGATGACCCCTGAGGTCCCTCTAGTTCTTCCCTGGGAATGGGAACCCAGTCTCTGTCTCCAGTCACCCCTCCAGGGGAGGAAGGCATCCACCAGGCACTAACCATTCTCCCTGCCACTTTCTGGCCTGACTTCAGGGACCACCACAGCCAGCAGCTCTCATGGTCTCAGGAAAGAGCTCCCTGGTGGGGTTGGGTTCAGTTCAAAGTTTGCGACAGCCTGGTTTTCGTCTTGGGGTCTAATTTCCTGCAGTGACACATTTTTACAAAGCCAAGTGCACAATATTCCCCAGTTCTTTGGGCAAGAAGGATCTTTTACACAGGAAAGGGTGAGGGCTTTATTGTATTTCTGTGGGCATGATGCAGGCCTTGATCACCTTCTCCTCAATAGTATGTCTCTTGCTCCTGACTTTATTTGGATAGCAGGAAAAAAAATTTTTTATGTTGAATTTATAACCTTAATCTCCCCCATATAGTAGTAAAGTGAAGCCACAGTTTATTCGGGAGAGAAATCAGGCACATTTGGGTGGCCTAGACATGCTGGCCACATTGCCATTTGTTTTCTTCTTATGAAATGTTTCTAGGTTCCTGCAGACTCTCTTTAAACTCTTGATAAGGAAAGGAAGTAGGTCCTGGGGCAAGAAGACATAGGTGTTTGAGGACTGTGGGGAGGCATCCTTCAGTCTGAATGGCCCCAGAGGCCTTCGAGAGCACATGCCTTCTAAGCCACTGGTGTAGAGACCCTACAGGAGTCATTTTAGTGAATCCCCTGCCCAATGTAGGTCCTACTTACTCCATCTCAGTTGGCCACATGGGCCGAGGATCCTGTTTCTTGGGGATGGGAGGGTGGGGTGGGCATGGAGTCTGTAGGGTAGAGAGGCCCTGATGAGCTGTAACTTGAGCCTTCAGTCCAGTGAGTTGAACATCTGGGGAGTGTAATATCACAGCTTCTATGACAGATCAAATATCTGCTCCTACTGGTAGGTTTTACCAAGAGCTGAGAGCTAGAGGAAGGCTGGAAGGGACAAGGGTTGTTTATCTTGGCTTCCCAGATTTTTGTTGTGGTATTGAAGGGGTGTGGTTTGAAAAGAGCAAAGCTCCAAGATGGTAAAATACTGACAAGTCCTAGGCTTCCGCTGTTGTGTCGCTTTCTCCCAGGCTCCAAGCAGGCACAGCCACAGAACGTGGCATGAGCTGTTCTAAGTAAACTACAGAGGATTGGACATCCCAAATCATGGGCTAAGGCTTTTCAATCCATAATGATAATAATAAAAATATCAACCAAGTCATATGGATTACTGTGATGGTGGCAGACTCATTTGGATACTAATGATCTGTCATACCTGTTGAGTGAATGCATCTGGGACCATCAGTTCATATCAGTTTAAATGCAACGAGTTTATTTAGGGGAGAAATCAGACACATTTGGGTGGCCTGGACACACTGGCCACATTGCCATTTGTTTTTTTCTTATGAAATGTTTGATGTTAATCATCAAACAGATTTAGGGGCTAAATCTGTTTGATGATTAAATCCCAGGAATCTCAGGTTTTTCTAAGCCAGAGAAGTCTGCTTTGCATTCTAATGTTGAAACTCCTTTAGAAAATGTGTATAATGGACCAAGGCAGTTATTACCTTGTCAGTGAATTAAGAAAGCTTGAGAGATGACAAAAACATTTCCCATGATTACAGCTGAGATCTGCCAGCTGGTGGATCAGAAACAGGTTTAAGAAGGAGGTGATTAGGAACACGGAGTAGGGTGCTGAGAACTTTCTTTGCAGCATCCCAGGGGCCCCTGTGGTTACTGAAATGTGCCTCTCCTCCAGCAACTGCCTCTCCCACCCAACCCGCTCCTAGGGCCCCAAACCTTGCTTTTCCTGGTGCATCAGAACAGATACGATTTTGGAATTGGTAAGACTAAAGTTGGAATCCAGGCTCTGCCGCTTACTGGCTGTGTGACCTTGGGCAAGTTACTCCACTTCTTTGAGTCAGGATTTCTCTATCTGTGAAGTGGGTTTAACGAAAGCTCTGCCTCAGGGTGGTGGTGCAGATTACAGATAAAATGGAGAACTGCATAGTATAAGGTCCAGGAATGATGATGCTCTCCCTCCCCACCTCAACTGGGGATAGCTGGATTAGGCCTCAAACGCTGTGGCCAACCCTTCTGCCTTTCTTCTGTCACACCTCACATCCCAGATCAGCACATCTTGTCAGCTCCACTTTCAGAATCTGATCGCTGTCCACCCTCGGCTGTCACTGCCAGTCCGGGGTTGCTCACTGGTGTTCTGGCTTTCTCTCTTACCCGCTTCTCCTCCCCTCCTCGCCGCCCCACCACCAGGTTCATCCTCCACTCAGCAGCCAGAGGAAGGGCCAGAGGGTGGTCAGGTCATGCCACTCCTCTGCTCAAAACTCTCCTATGGCTCCCTCTCCAGGCAAAAGCCAAAATTCTCACCACAACCAGTGGCAGATTTATAGCAAGACTGGCAAAGCTTAAGTGTCCGGGCCTCTCTCTAGCACAAGCCCCTTCCAAGGCCCTGAATTGACTTATCTATCTTGAAGATGCCCCCCCTGGACTGCATAAGCTTCAGGTAACCCCAAACCGGGGTTCATCCCTCACAGTGGCCTACAAGGCCCTAAGCAATTGGGCCCCTGGGCTTCTCTGACCTTATCTCTCACCCCTTACCCCTTTACTTACTCACCCCAGCCACACTTGCCTCTTGACCATTCCTCAACCTTACTGGGCACGCTCACATCCAAGGGACTTCAGACGTGCTGTTTCCTCTGCCTGGAAGGTACTTCCCCTCAATATCTGCAAGGCCCACTCCCTCACCTCCTTAGGGGCTTTGTTCAATATCTCCTCCTCAGTGAAGCCTTTGCTGAACACATTTAAAATTGTACCCCACCCCACTTCATTCCCTTTTCTCCTTCATGGCCATATTTTTCTCTGATCACTAATCACGACCCAGCAGGCTGAGCCTTGTGCTTGTCTTTCCCATCCACGACCTCCCCTACTGGATTGCAAGCTCCATGAAAGCCGGAATTTAGGTCTAACTGGTTCTTGCTGTACTCCCAGTGTTAGAAACATGTTTGGCACATTATAGGTGCTCATTGTTGAATGAGTGGATGAATACATGTAACAAAAGCTTCCTATACCTGCTGGTGCTGCAGAGCCATATGCAGGACCCAGAAGGCCCATGACTCCTTCTCAAACTCCTGGAGCCCTCTCTAGGGGTGATGATCAATTGTGCAAAGGATCACATGCCTCAAAGGTGCTGATTTTGTCACTGGACCCTGTAGCTGGGAACTTGGGAACCCATTTGCCTTCCTCTCCCTGGGCCTTGGTAGGGCTTTATGTGGAAGGGTTAGAGGGGTCTCCCTCATGAAGACCCTTCTCCCCCAACCTTGTTGGGACATAGCCAGGTGCCAGCTAGACCTGGGAGACATTTGCTGGGTGTTTAGGGGCCTGTGAGATAAACCAACTGGATTCTTCCCATCCAAGGACCTTGAGTGCCCAGGCCTGGCCCTTTAGAACCCCAGTATCCATGATCACATCTACTCACTTACCTCAGGCATCTCCCAGCCAAAAATGCCAGCTGCCTGAGATTCCACCATTATTGCTCCCTTCCTTGAGAATAAGCATTAATTTCCCTGGGATTCTCTTTAAAATGTCCTCCCTGTATGTACATATCTATACACAAACGCACATGTGCATGAGCACACACATGCGCATGTGCGTACACACACACACACACACACACACACACACAAACACACACACAGAGCTTTCTCTTGTCCGACCTAGCCCAGAGGCCGAGGACACCTATCTTGTAAAGCAGCTTCAAGCCAGGACATCCTCTGGATGATTGACGATATCTTCTGTTTCTCCACCAGCCATAGGCCTTGCAGTTCCCAGGATGCCAACCTCACAGCAACAATCAAGTTTCTCCTCCCCAGGTGAAGCTGGTTTCTCTGTATTCTTCCTGCTCCCCGCACCCTTAGCAGGATGGGGAGAGATGTCCGGAAGCATTTCTGTCCTGGCATTTCTGGAGGAGACTGTGTGGTCCTGGGCTGGGAACCAGGAGAACTAGGTCCTGCTGGTCACCCCTTCTCCCTGTGGGCCTTTAGGCAAATGACTCCATCTCTCTGGTCTACCAGAGGAAAATTGGAAACCTTCCCACTCTGTCTTCTCTGAAAGCTAGGGGATCAGAGAACACAAGCAGAGGGCTTTCCGAAGTTGAGAGCTTGGTACTCTGGGTCTGGAGAGCTTTGAAGGGGCAGGAGTGGGGGGGGGGGGGAAGGGAGGCATTATTAAGAAGCCACAGGAAATGGGGTTCTGTGTCAGGTTCTGTCAGGAAGCACTCACAAAGTCAGGGAGGCCCTCCATCTGGGCCTGCTGGTCTCTCCTGGAGAATGGACTCCTTTTGATGGTCCCCAGGAGGTACATTTCAGCTAGAGAAAGAGAAACTTGCTGAGATCTGGGCTGGAGTGGTAGGGAGCTTCTTGTCAGTGAAGGTATGTTAGCATCTACTGGTCAGGTGTTGGATATCTTAGGGATGGAGCATAGTGGAGATGGGTAGGATTTAGCCAAGAGACTCCCCAAGCTTCCAACCCCCACTTTGAGGGGAGCCAATGTCCCAATGGCCAGAGGCCTGGCTAAAGACAGTAACAACCCTGGCCCTGTGGTATCTTCTTGTCTTTGGCCCAAAAACCCTCTTC